AATTAAAATAGATGCTTACATTATCACCAAAAATTTATACGAACATTCGGAAATGAGGGGTGTTACAAAATGATACCCCATAAATAATTTTTATCGACGTCATCATTCTTTCATCGATTTGATGAAAATACCCTTCGTCTCCACCAACGACCTCTAACTACCATCATCACCCATCACCCCCTTCTTCCTCTATTCCTCTACGAGTGACGCGAGCCTTTCATCCCGTCTCCTTCCTCTTCTCTCTTATCGCTTGTGACACCTTTGATATTGGTGCCCCTATAATTTACCATTGACGATCACCACCAACCTCTCTCAACAAGGCTACAACCATATTGCCTACATCACCATCTATCGTTCCATTTTCCTCGTAATCGAAGACGAGAACCCACTAACCCCACTCATGTGACCCTTGCCGAAAGCGAGCAACAAGGGTGCTAAACGAGCAATGAGGACGTTTTCTCTAGAGACGAGCATATTTTTAATATTTTCTTTCATTAAAAATTATTTAAGGGGGTGCCATTTGGTTAAAACCAAGCACCAAGAACTTTTTTAGTTAAAATGCCCAAGAATCATTACAAATATTTTTTGTTGCTGCATTTTCTTGACATAGCAATGAATACGACTTTTTATTGTACAATTATTTGCCTAGGAGTCATTATATTTTTCACAAGAACTTGCAAACCTTGATGCAGATATCTACTTGATTAAGCAAAGTTTCTGGTCGTAGGAATCAATCATGTATGGGCATTTATAAGCATACATCAACAGGTCCTATAACACATATAGCAGGCTTTTGAATTAGAAAATAGTTTCTGCAAGCAAATTGGCTAACTTTAATCCTACAGATTTTATCTAGGGTTCTGTTTTGCATGAATTGACACCAATTAATAAACATCACTTTTGTGATCTCAAAATTGCTGGAGAAACTAAAACTTTGCAAGTTCAGTTTGAGATCTTTTCAAATTTGTCTTCCTCATCATTGATCTTTTTTCTTTTATTTTCGCCTGTTGCATGTTTGTCACTCTCAAACCATGAATCAAGTTACCGCACAAAATCAATCATGCAAAAAAATTGAATGCTACCTAATGATATATTCCATCTGGTTCAGTAGCTCATATAACGGAAAGAGGAAAATTTTCCACGAAATTTATGCTTCTCTTGAATCTAAATATGACCAATCCAAAGAAGGTGGATGGAGACAGGAATGATGTGAGCAATGCTGAAAAGCAGGATCAGAATTCTGTCAAAATTTTTAACCATGAATTTTTAACAACCTTATGACAGGGAGATCTTCTACTACTAATCACAATCATAAACTACAGAATGGGCTACTGGACATGTCTGTCTACCTTTGCTATTAAAAATGTAGCATATTCATTGTTTTTCACAATCTACATGCATTTGTTTAACTGAAAACATATATAAGAACCACAAGCTATATAATCATGGAAATTTGTGAAAAGCAATAATAGAGAACAGATACTGAACAACTCGGTAAGTATTTCACTGTAAAAGAAGATGCTACATCCTTGTTTATATGCACCAACAGTGATCCATGATAAATCAACTTTAAGGTACCTTCTATATTTAATTGCAATCCCCAAACAACTTAAAAGGTGAAAACAAGTAAATTTGTTAGCTGTCGTTAATGAAGGCTTCGCATAAAATACCTTGACCCATTCTTTACCTCCTCTACCACTTACCTCAATATGGAACTAATCTTTTTACACTCCCAAAGTTATTCTTAAAGTTGTAATTGCAGCAACTCCAAACAATTCTAATTTGTTTAGAGTTGTTACCTGAACTTGAAGCTCCACAGCAACTATTCTGTAGTAAATCACAGTGTGTTCATAATCTCATATTTGTGGACAATTATATTGTGAAATGCTTTGAAATTACAAGATCATGGTTGAGAAATGGAAATAGATTGACAGGAGAACAAAATAAAATAAAATCGCAAATGAACTATAAATGTTTGCTCTTTTAGAGTCATAATTATGTCAAGCAAGACTACTGCAATAAATTCAGACACCAGGTCTAATGAATTCAAAGCGTACTACTCAGAAGCTGCACTGCAGAGTTTTATCTTGTTTAAATTACCAGAGGCTCGAATGCTATATAATCCAAACATAGAAACAAATAATGCTACACATGAAAAATCAAGCACATGTGGCAAAGATAAATGAGAAGAATTGATTGACAAGACAATCATGAAGAAAGCTAGTGGCAGATGGATGACTTCCATGGATTAAACCAACATTGGATTTAAGCAAAAACAGTTAGAATTGTGTTCCATTGTTCTTTCACAGTTTCAACAGCATACACATTTCGTCTTTACTTCTAAATTCATCACAACAAAGTATGTTTAAAAGGAGATGGCCAGTTTAAGTACAATTCTAAATATTATTTTATCTACTAACACAAAAGTGCACCTCGTCTGAATATTTTTTGAAAAAAGAGGAATGAGACTCAGAGTAGACCAGTATCCCTATCAGTTTTTACGAGCATGTTTTTGCTTAAATCTTAGTTTCCAATCTAGATAAACAAAACCCAAAGAATAACTTAAATCTTAGTTTCCAATCTTTTGGTTAGACAGTTGTCAAGGTCTTGGGAAGGGCCATGGCTATATCCATCTTTCCCAACCAGATGGATATCCAAGTTTGTTATGTTTTTCCCATCTCATGCGATTCCACACAAGAAATATGAGCAAGCTTGATGAATGAAATAAAGATTGCAGTTCAGAAGCCTTAAAATACAAAAAATGCAAAGGACTCATATTAAGGAAGCAAGGAATAAGTGATCATTTAAGGAGAGAATGAACACCACCACGAAATTAAATGTTTGTTCAAGAAGGGAGCAATATATTTGTACAACCAAGTGTAAAGTGGTAGAGAGCCTTGCAATGTAGTTCACAATTGATGGCGATGTATTATAAATTCTAGTTAACCTCATTCAACAAAAGAAGTAGGAAGAGACTATCAAAAGCCTACGTGAGAGTTGAATAACAAAAGAAGCTGCACATATTATTCAAATTCCAGAAAAAGTGTTCTGTTACAGTAAAAAGTTCTTCCTAAACCAAATATAACCATTTACTGATGTAATATAAACGATTATATAATAATCAGCAGCATATGTTACTCCAAAGAAGATTAATACATCATATCATCAAGAATAAGGCTAGTAGATTTCTAGTCCACCGTTGAGAAAAGAAGATGGTATTCGTGCATAACATACCAACAAATCACAAAATCCCAGGTAGCACCGTAACTGGCGAGTAAAGAATGCAGGTGGAGCTCGAATGAAAGCGATTTCAGGAACATTCCATCAAAGTTTTTAGGGTTTCAGAACCGGAAAATCGATTGGGAGCGAGAAGGGGGAAGAAACCCTATTGAGAACTGAAGAACAAAAAAGAAACCAGAAAAAAAGGGAGATCAGATCGGAAAAAAGAATCTGATTGAGAAACGGAAAACAGACCAAGCACAAAAAAATCGATTGAATCGAAAAAAAAATTGGACCATTTCCCTGAAATGCAAGCGAATTCAGGACTATCCCATCCGAGATTTTAGGGTTTGAGAACTGGAACTGGAAAACCGATTGAAAACGATAAAGGGTTCAAAAACTCTCTATCGAGAACAGAAGAACAAAAAATAAACAAAAAAAAAGGGAGATCAGATCAGAAAAAACGAACCTGGTTGAGAACCGGAAACAAATCAACTACAAAAACCAAAAAAACACAAAAATCGATCGAATCGAAAAAAAAGGGGACCATTACACTCAAATGCAAACGAATTCAGAAACATTTTATCCAAGTTTTTAGGGCTTCAGAATGAATCAAAGCACTTCGAATCGTATAATCCTTGCGCTAATAAACCCGACTGACAATCGAGACGTAACCAGCAATGTGGGACTAAAATTTAACGTAGCTCAATTCCGACCTGAGCCTGTTATAGATAGCCGAACTCCAGTTGGAGACGGGCATGGAATGGTTTTGGGGTTCGGACCAGAGATTGGAAAAAGAAGATGCAGCTCTTGATTTCAATCTATCACAGTACTAAGATATAAAAAATATCATTGTGTTACTGGATGCAGCATGCTGCTAATTACTACATCTCTAAAAGGTCCAGTTTGCTGATTGAATAGATATCAAGAATATTTATGGTCATGCTGAATAACAACACTGGGTATTGCTCAAGTCAACACCAAGTGCATCCATTATTGATTGCATTTCATACCTGCAAGCCACCTTATCTTTAAGTTTGAGTAACAAATAACAATTATAGTAAAAAAGAAGAGTTTGTAGGAAACAGAAGTATTGCTGCATGCAATAGCAAGTCATAGATTAATCTGAGCAACACTTTCTTCAACTTCAAATTCACAAGTTTCAGGTGTGTACTGACATTAATCAAAACCAATCATCCACAAAATCTGGGATACTGATCAAAGGTGCAAGCAGAAGAAAAAAAAAAACTAAATGTAACTTCCATATGAGACCCATCTTTCCCCATTGAATTCTTCAAAACTATAATTTACTGCTCAAACATGAACCACATTATGCAATAGCACATAATAAATTCAGCACAAGGATAGAAGAAGAAACGATAAAAAGCACACCATTTGATATGAAAACCCTTCTTTTCCAACAAGTAAATTCACAGGAATTTGAATTTTCAACAATTTGAAAAGACGAGAAAAACAACATGATTTAACAAGGCCAAAGACCAACAGTGATCAAAGCTATCCAAAGTATGCAACCCATTTGGTATGATCATACTTAGAAGTAGAATGATTCCTCAGTTTGGGTTCAAATAAGAATTAGAATTAGAGCTTCAAGAGTGAGAAGGCCACATGCTTGACAATAGATCCCTTAGACGTTGTCCACTGTTCCTTGAACTACTGCCTGAAGTTTGACCACTTGACCTTGAACTCCAATTACCAGAACCCTGAGTTGGCATCTCATAGCGGCAGACTGGACATGAGTTATGCTGTTCTAACCATGGGATGATGCACTCAGAGTGATATAAATGTGTACATGGCATCTCTCGTGCCTCCGATCCTATTTCAAACCTCTCTAGACAAATAGGGCATTGCGAATCCACGCGAAGATGCCTCTGATTGATTTTTATGATGGGCATAGCATCAATAGATGATCGTGATGCAGATGGAGCTCCATGTCTATCATTCTGCATCGACTGCTCAATCAGTTCATCAAGGCCTGGCTCAACAAAATAGTCTGCCGTGTCGGCCTGTCGAATTCCAACACCATAATGCCTATTAAGGAGGGTGTCCATGGATCTATGTCTACCATTCTGCATCAACTGCTCAATCAGTTCATCAAGGCTAGGCTCAACAAAATAGTCTGCCATGTCGGCCTGTCGAAATCCAACTCTATAATGCCTGTTAAGGAGGGTTTCCATGGATCTATGTCTATCATTCTGCATAAACTGTTCAATCAGTTCATCCAGGCCTGGCTCAACAAAAGAGTCTATCATGTCGGCCTGTCGAATTCCAACACCATAATGCCCATTAAGGGAGGTGTCCAATCCATGGCCCTCGGATTCATGAACTGGAATCTGACCCCCCCTAGAGACTGCCAAAGGGCCTGATCCAAATTCCATACCAAAATCTGAATTCACGTTGAGCATTCTAATGAGTCCACCATGATGTCTACTTCTCACCCTCCTCCTCCTTGTCAAAAAAGACGTGGCCTCCATTATCCTAATCCATGGATCATGAACAGCATCAGGATCCACCCCAACATGGTCACTCGGTGTGGCATCTATCTCATCAAGTTCCAACACAAAACCAGAATTACAAATGGGGCAGACCATGTGCCTCTGACAAGGTTCTACTCTTTGCCTGCACTGGTAACACCAGTGTGTACTATTGTTTGACATCTTCCACCTTCTTCAACTTCAACCTAACGACCAATACCAAAATCAAGATCAGCAAAGAAGAAAAGCAAAATCCTTCGAAATCTTCACTTCACTGCAAGCAAAATTATGATACATTTCAAACATCAATTAAAAAAATAAATAAATAAACAACCTAATCCATAGCATCAACCAACAGGCACACTAAAATTGGGTTAAATTTACGTTTTAGTTTAATCTGTGTGCATAAAGAATTAAGTAAACGATAATTCCTACTGTAAATAATAATCTACATTTGAAATTAGATGCCATCGTTTTCTCAGGAAATTTCTGTTGCTTGTATCAGAAATCAATATGCAGCAGACTCATAATAAAGATGAAAAGCTAGTGACAGCAAACGCTCCAGAGATTACCCTTCATACTCCACATATTTTACACATCAAAGAAGAAGTTTTATCCATTGAAAATTCAAACAGACGTTTAACTCTAATTCTAAACTGCTGATACAGCATAAGAAAAAAGATCAGCTTGAAATCAGGGCTAAAAAAAGGGCAAATTGACATTATTTGACCGATACATTTCCACTTCCCATCAAAAAAAAAAAATCAATTAAACCAAATGACCGAGGAAAAATTCTTGCTAGATCATGAACTATCGCTACTGCCCCCAAAAGAACAAACAAAGACCAAGGGAACAAATAGAAATCTACTCTTAAACTGGACAATATATTGAAAAAGAAACCCTGGATCGAGATCTCAACTCCGGTCATCCAATCTTGCTCCGGTTCCCTCATATAAATCCTAATGATAGCAGTCATATCAAATCAAATCAAGAAGGGAATCGGTAAAGAGAGAAAAAAAGCCAAATCGAGCTCATTTACCTGGAAACACGATCGAATACAAGTGTTATAAAAAAATACAAATTAAAATCAACTATACCTCGAGCAACAGGAGATATGAAATCCACGCCGAGAGAGATCAGATTACGAATACACGCCGGTTGTCGACTCGACACAGCAAAGAGAGGGCTTCCTCGCTCTCCGCCACGGGATCGTACAAATCGATTGACGATTTCGTGATGGACCGTCGGATTTGGTCCAAATTAACTTATGATTGATATCAAAGAGGATTAATCCATAACGTGAACCTATATATATATATAAATATAAATATAAATATATAAAAGTTACGGGGTCTAATTACAATGTTTTCAAATAAAAATATAGTACTTTTGGTAACATTGTAAACCTAAACAAAAATATTATAAACTGAAGAATAAAGACACAACATATAATATAAATAATTTAAAATAGATATTCTTATTAATTTAGGAATAAGTAAATTATTCCTAAACTTATATTATAATTAAAAATATAATATATAAGTATTTTTGGTAACATGATAAGCCTGTACAAAAATATTATAAACCAAGGAATAAAGACTCAACAGATAATATAAATAATTTACCATCATTTATAAGGTTAAATATAAATTTTTTATTAGTTTAAGAATAAAAAAGATATAAGAAAACTATACTTCCATATCCATTATAGTGTTTTTGAATAGGATTTTATTATTTTTATTATCTATTAAAAAATAGAAAAAACACAATACGAGTTAATTGAAAATTTAACTTAGTTACAATATTTTTGATGCTTCGAAAAAATACCTAAAACACTTGTCGCCACAAACCAAATCTAACACCTAAACCACTAGCTAGAGAAAGGAGAAAGGAAGAGTGATCAAGAGAGAGAACCATGATGAATCGAATCAAGTTGGCTGGCTCGATCCGCAAACTGTGCAACCATGTTCTTGATCGTTGGATGGTTCTCATCTACTTGTGGATCATGCATCAAATTCTTTAACTGCGCTTCTTCCTCGGCGGTGGTCAAGCCCCATCGTTTCATGCTTCTAAAGATGTACAACAGCTGGAGCTTTTGGAGACGCGCGTTGGACACTTTGCGAACGCCGGCGGCAGGGGTGGGCGGCGGCGACCACGTTTGAAGCTGCTGTCTTTTTCTTTTTGCTGCGTCGTTGATGGCTCTCTGGGTCTGTCTTATCACACACAACACCTTTTGACCCTGCAATCCGTGTGCACATATATAAAGAGCACATCGGTTGTAGGAAACGAGAAGTGAACTAACAGGAGTATAGAGATGATCACCGGGCGGCCTTTGGCATTGGATGGAGCATAACTACTGCTTAGCGAGAACTCGTCCATGACGAAGCCGGTGGAATTCTTCGCGTTGCCGAGGTGGAAGGAAAGGTGGCGCTTGAACCACACGATGACCTTGTGCTCGCCGGCGACGGCCAACTTGATGGGATCGCCTTGCTTGCTGGTATTGAGCGTCCAAGTGCCCCTCCCTGCCCGGCGGGCCACCTGGGACGAGTTGCGGCTGGAGGGCTTGAGGGTGGTGAAGAAGTAGGCCTTCTGCCGGCCGCGGAGGAGCGCCTCCGGCTCCCGGGCGTAGGCGTCGGCCTCTTGGACGACATTGCGACAGAGCTGCAGGCCATGGATCCACCTGAGGAGGAAGTGAAGGACGAGATCTTGGTCGGAGGGCTGGAAGGTGAAGCCCGGCGGAAGCATTGGTCGCTTGGAGAGTGCCGGTCACGACAGCTAGCGGCCTTCCTCCTCCTTATATAGAGACACATGAAGGTGGCTTTGTTGTGTCCGACAGGACTCCGACAATTTAGCTGAAGACTAATCTCCCGTCCGACACAACCTAACTGGGTTTCATGGTGTAGAAACTAGCGGATTGCTTGTTCACTTGTAAAAAGGCTATTTCCTAGTTATTCCAACTTAAATCCGTCACCGTGCCTTATCCCACATGGAATTTAATAGGCTTTGCGTGCCGTCTCATGAATAGGAGGACGAGGCGCACTTCCAAAACCGAACTTTGCACCCAATAATAAATAAAAAAAATCGCTGAGCTGTCTAGCTCTATTTGTTAGAAGTCTCTTCCCCAAACTTCAAATCTATTGTAAAATAAATATAAGATAAAAATATATCAATAACTATATATGTCGGTAAGAATATTTAAAAATTATAAAAACAATAATCTTTGAAACATATATAAATATTAATATTTTTTTTTAAAAAAATAATAATATATAGATTCATCGTAACATCATAAAGTAATACACCAGAAAAATAATGATAATATTTTATATAATAAATAAAATTTTGGATCAACCACTTACAATAAATTTGACACATTTGGATGGGACCGTAACTTCTTTCGCATATTATACTTTTAATATGGACCACTAATATAATCACATGTATCATAAACTTAAGAATATAGAAAATCAATAATTATTTTTAAATAATAGATAAAACATTTATGTTTATCAAATAATAAAGGCATGAAACTTTATTCTCTTAGTCCTTAATCAACTAAAACTCTAATTGAAATAACTTAATTGACTTAAACCAAACTCAAATTAATTATGACATAATGGAATCAACCTCAAATCCTTATATAATTAGTATGGAATCACCTTAAGTTAGTTTAACTTACATTTGATTGATCTCGATTAGGTTAAGTAGGTTTGAACTAGTCAAGTTGGTCTAGAATCACCTTGAACCGACCTTAACCAATCAAATATATCTAATTCAATCAATTAATAAACTTAAACTAGGGAGAGTAAATCAGTGCTATCTTAAACCAAACCGACCCACCTAAGTCTTGGATGGGTCACATGTGCCACATGTGCTTGTCTTAGGTAATAAATTAGGTTAAGGTACAACAGGTTAAAGAGAGGAGCGACGATGTGTCTAACGTTAATCGCATAACTAGGTAGGCTTAACTTCACGAACTAGGTTAAGCCTCACTCACAAGTTGGGCTAAGCCTTATCACTAAACTAGGTCATGCTTGGCTTACGAGTTAGGTCATGCCTAAACACATGAGTTGGGGTCATGTCTAACCATATGGATTTGGTCATATCTAGCCGCATGAGCTGGGCTATGCTTGGCTACATGGGCTGGGTCATGTTTGGTCATATGGGTTGGGTTATACCTTCTCATATGAGGTGACTTATACTTGATCACGTGAGATAGGTTGTGCATGACCACATGGGTTGGGTTGACCCGATTTGAGATATCAATTTGACTCAAGTGAGACTTCAATTAGACTCCTCTTATCAAATTAGATTTTAATATTTTAAATTATCAAATAATAACTTAAATATATAAATTAAAGGATTTAAATTCATGATCTTAAATTTAAAACTAATTAAATCATAAAAATTCATACATAATTCTTGAAACATAGATATATCTAATCAAATAAATTAGAACATTATATAAATCTAAAAATAAGAATTTTAATAATTAAATAAATATTAAAATTCACTTAAGCTTAAAAGACCATTATAAATCAAATAATCATTCTAACATCATAAATTAATTAATTATTATTATTATTATTTATTAATCATATTTTTAAAATTAAAAATATTATTATGTATATAAAATTATAACAATTTTAATATTAGCGATTTCAAAATATGAATCAAAACAAATTAGAAAATAATAGAGGATCTTACCTTAGCTCGACTATCCTCTCCTCGGGATTATCTCTTTAGATAATTCTCTCCTTAATGAGAAATGAGTGAGGAGGAGCCCCCTTTACATAAGATAAGATGAGATCTTCCCGAAAGGTGAGTAAATATTTAATTTTTTAAATTTATTTTTAGTTTGCTTTCGCACACAAAGATAGAAATATAATATTCATTTCATATGGTTCATATATAAAAATGGAATATATACTATTTACTTCTTAAAATCACATCACTCATTAGGAAATATATCAATTAATAGTTTAATTAATTAGCAAAATTTCTATCTTGTTCACATGATTAAAAAAAAATCAAATTTTATTATTTTCTTAATTATAATACATAAACATAAAAGTTAATAATAAAATAATATATTATTTATAATAATTAATTTATGTTAAGGGAGAAATTATTAGTGATTACACAAGTCGCCTGCTTCGGAAAGATAATTGTGTCTTAAAAAGAGATCGTTGAGGAGGTGATACTCGTGTGACTTTTCTTAAAATAAGTTTCTTATGTCACTAAGTCATCTACAAATCTACCATCAAAGCATGCTTGGTGCAATCACTCTGATGCAGAAGATAATTTAAGATAGTTGAAGATAAAATTTTTCAATCCTAAAGCATACTTGAGAACTTATATTACATAGTGGTAAGGGTTATATTCTAAAAAAAAATATTTGACTCCACAATTAGTGCTAAAGTGATATATTCAATTGATTAGGCTTCACGTGTTCAGCTCTGATTGACCTAAAAAATATTGGTCATATCATCCCTCCTAATGCGCTTTAGGACCATCTCACATTTACGCCCATGTATGAGGTGTTAAATGTAGGAGACATAAGAACGATAAGGATATATTGACTTTAACTTCAGGTATTGGACATAAGAGACATCTGAGGGCATTGGAGAATGTTGGCTTGAACTACCATGTAAGAGATGTTAGGTGTTGGAGAGGCATGCTAACTTAAACCCATAAGGAGCATCGAATTCAAGAGACGTTCAAGGGTATTAGAGGGTATTGAATATAAGAGACACATGAGAGCATTAATGCATGTCAATATCAATTGCCCATGCAAGAAGTGTTAGATGTAGGAGACACATGAGAGCTTTAGGATGCACAAGAGCATCAAAAGGTGTTGACTTGGATCGATCATGTAAGAGATGTCAAACATTAAGTACATAGGAGAGCGTAAGAGCTCTATCAATGTAAACCACCCGCATAAGGGAGTGTCAGACATATGAAATGCACAAGAGCCTTAAGTGTGATGACTTAAACAACTTATATAAAGTATATTGGAGGCAAAAGATTCATGAAGCTATTGGGGCATGCCAACATGAATCAAGAGCATTCTTATCGTCATTAATCTGACACTCAAGAGGATTGCTAGACATACGACAAGTCACTCACATCACATGGGTTACTAGAAAAACTAGAACCAACAGCATTCTTGTCGTCATCACTCTAACACTCAAGTCAATACTCATATTTATAAAGTAGTGAGGAGAATACTCATAAAAAAAACACTTATTCAAAAGAATATTTCATCCTCCAACTAATGCTTATATGGCACGTTTGGCTGATTGTGCTCCATGTGTCAAATTCTAGTTGGCCCAAATATACTAACCAAGTCATTTACATCATTAAAAGCTTTAGGATTACCTACTTCTACGAGAATGCAATGTATGGAAAGAACTTGACAACTATAGCTCACATGCATGATGTGCAAAGGCGTGAGAGAGTGCGTCCCCACTTTAAAGTATCAAAGGTTGCTGATATTGATGACATGGTCATGCAACACGAGATGCAAGATGTGCAAAGGCGTGAGGGAGTGCCAACTTAAACTACTTATTTAGAGGATGTCACTAGGGAGATGCATGAGAGTATCATGTATGTGAATGTGAACCATCATGTAGGGGTATTAGACATAGAAGATATTGAGAGCGTCCAGGCATGTCAACTTAATTACCACCATAGGACTGTCACACACGAGGACATCAAAGTTACTTGGAAATGCCATATAGCCAAAGATGGTAGAAATACAAGGGTATCTATGCATGCCGACTTGAACCAACCCGTGTACAGAATGTATGGTGCAAGAGAAACGTGAGGTATTGGGGTGTGCTGAATTGAACCATCCACATAAGACATGTTGAAGTTAGGAGATACATAAAAATTAGGGAGTGTTAATTTGAATCACCCACATAGAGGCTGTTAATTGCACGAGATGTGCAAGGGTGTCAGGATGTGCCAACTTTGAATCACCAACATATGAGATGTCAGATGCAAGAGTCACATGAGAGTGTTGAGGCATGATGAATAAGTGACATAGGATGCACGAAGGCATATGTCAAATTGGATCATCAGCATAGGGGATGCCGAACATATGACATACATGAGAGATTTAGGATGTAGTAACTTAAACTGCTCACATGGTATTAGGCTCAAACACACGAGATGCACGAGGCATCAGATGTGCTAAGTTAAACAACCCACACAATGGGTATGAGACGTAGGAATTGCATTAGGACGTCAAGGCATGCCTACTTGAATTTCCCGTGCATGGGACCACATGCCGACTTGAACTATCATTGTAAGGGTTGTTAGATGCATGAGACATGTGAGTGCATTAGATTGTATTAACTAAATATACCCTTGTAGGAGGTATCTATTGGAGACTTGAATTGCTTGTGTAGTTAGTGTCAAAAGTAGGAGATGCATTAAAGCATTGGGGTATGCTAACTTGAAACACCAACATAGAGATTATCATGCATAGGAGATTCATAAGACAATTGACATGTGCACATAGGGAGTGTTAGGTATAGGAGATGCTGTGCATACCAACCTAGACTACAAGTGTAGTAGGTGTCTAATGTTATAGGCACGTAAGGACATTAAAGCAAGTTGACTTAAATTATTTGTATAGGGGGTGTCAAATATAAAAGGCACATGAGTGCATCGGGACTCATAAGGGTATTGGAGTATGTTAACTTGAACTACTAGCATAAGGTGGTGTCGAATGTAGG